TATGGGAGCGACACAAAGCAGAGGAAGTCCATACGCCAGATAAGCTGTAATTACGCCGGGTACGTGTTGTCAGAGCTATGCAAAGCATCCAGCACACAGACCGGTCTCGCCTCTCTACCAGCTCACCCTGTGTCTCTCTGCTAACCTGCACACATGCAGAGAAACATCCCCCTTGGTGTGATAAGTAAGTTTCATGCAGTGAATACATTTTGAATCATTATTTAGAGTGAATGGGGAATTTTCCTTATTCTCATCAGAGTAGAAATTTCAACTATGGGGACTCATATTCTTCTTTCACACGGGGTTTGTGTTTCCTAACAGGCTCTTTAGAAGCATCTATATTGCAGAGCCATGATATGGGCAATACAGGGGCCGATGCCGTGACCAGGATCTGCAGCACAAAGGGACAAAAAACGGAGCAGCCAGAAGGAAGGCCACAGTCCCCTGTCCTGCAAGGAGATCCTCTGTTCTACCTAAAGCAGAAAAACGTTTGGAGCCCATACAGAGCTCAACGTGCATTCAAGAGATCTGCTTTATCTGAAATGTCACCCAGCCAGGCATGTAGCAGCGCCATAGTATGGGGACATGACCCTCAAAAGCAGTCTCTAGTTCCACATCTGAGGCCAGCAGTCTTCCCAATATAGCATCAGGCAGGAAAGAGGCTACTTTTTCACTCTGCAATCTTCTGTCCAATCAAAGCGAAGCCTCATTCTGAAAGCCACCTGCTTCCAAGCACAGAACCCAAAATGCCCACCTCTCCCTACCACGCCACAGACACACACATGTGCACTTTCAGCAGTTTTTATAGTTGCCTATTTCCATAAAGTTCAGAACCTACTGACAAGACCATTTTAATGCAGTGTGGATTGCACTGCCCAGGTATAAGCATTTTCAGCACTGTCAGTTTAATGTGGAAGAGATCATTGCCAACAGGAATGTTAAGAAAAATATAACTTTGTTATCACAGGCTTATGTTTGACTGTCTTCGATGTTGTCACATCCAGGCCTACTTCCAGTGGCTTTTCATGTCAGCAATCTGCTACACAGTTCCCCTGTAACTGCTATCATGCTCTGGGCACAACTCGTAATAACGGCCTGAAATGTTTGCTGTACTGCTTTAGGGATTTTTTTGTTGTTGTTGCTTTTCTTCTCTCTCAGACCAGAAGGGAACATTACACCTATGTAGCCTGAGGCCTTGTAAAATGCTGAGCCAACACCTAGTAAGTCCTCTAGTAAGTATATTATGTTTGCTGCTCTGCCCCAGACACAGAACGGTTCAAGACTCCAGGCTTACTTTGAAGCCACAACTGCCCGAAGTGGCAGGACGTCATGCGTGAGCAGAGACGCTGCCTCCGTTTCTCCTTTTCCTAACAGGTGTATCATTTGAGGAGGCACAGATGTTCGGCCTTCCCTTGGGGATATATGGAGATGGCAATAGAAAATAAAGCGCTCCTTTACCCTTCTTCACAAGGCCTGCCCACATCCCTATTCGTGCAAGTTCATACCTTTCAAACCACTCGCGGTGCAAATGCAGCCTGTACAGGCCTTCCCTTCAACACCAACACAAGGCCTAATGCACTTTCAACTTGCAACAAACGGCTTCTCTCACCCCAGGCCGTTTCCTTCTGCTTTCAATTCATAGAATCATAGAATGCTTTGGGTTGGAAGGCACCCCTAGAGGTCATCTAGCCCAGGAGCAGGGACACCGCTAACTCAATCAGATTGCTCAGAGCCCCGTCCAACATGGCTTTGAATGCTTCCAGGGATGGGGCCCCCACCACC